CTGCTAGACTCCCTTTGCCTGGAAATGAAGGCCTAGCGATGAATTCCTGTGCCAGGACCTCACCAGGGAGTGAGCAGTGGGGCCTAGTTTGAACACAGCTCCGACTTCAGAGCCTAGTCTTCCCCTGGCAGAACGAACTCGAGATAAACAAGTGGCATTTATCTTCTCGTTGCATGACCGACACCCTTTCAGTTATTTGGGGATCACTCTAAGATGACCTCTTTATTAGAAAAAAAAAGGCATTTATTAAGCACCTCCTGCATGCAAGGGGACACAGTAGTAACAGCACTGCCCTCATGGGCTCAGTCCTGCTCTTTCTTCTCCCAACACACTTCTGCCTCCTCCCTTTCCAGGTGACTGAATGTCTGACCACTGTGAAGTCAGTCAACAAAACCGACAGTCAGACCCTCCTGACCACCTTTGGGGTAAGGAAGGATTCCTGTGTCCGTACAGGCATTTCTACCCCTGTGCCTTTTCGAGGCAGCCCCCTACTCTTTCCCTAAGCCCCCCTCCCCCCTTCCCGCCTTCCCTGCCCTCCCACAGCCCTTACCTCCTTCCAGGAATATCTTAGATCCCTGATCAGCTGGGGCAGGGCAGAGTTTTACGCTCACCTCCCCTGACCCTTCACTCCCGCCTTCCTCAGTCTCTGGAACAGCTCATAGCCGCATCGAGGGAAGATCTGGCCTTGTGCCCGGGCCTGGGGCCCCAGAAGGTAAGAGATCTGGGAACGGGCTCAGGGCTCAGGGGCAGGAGGGGGCCCCAAACAGATGGGACCCCAGATCCTAAAGTTCTAAGGTTTCCGAAGTCCCACAGTGCCTCTCCTATAGATGGGGAAACTGAGGCCCAGAGAGGGTGGGTGCCAGCCCAGCCTCACACAGTCAGCCTGGGAGGAAAAGAACCAAAGTCCACGCTGGACGTACCGAACAAATGGCTCATTTAATGACTGGCTCCCTTCTCTCTCCCACCCAGGCCCGCAGGCTGTTTGATGTCCTCCACGAGCCCTTCTTGAAAGTGCCCCGATGACCTCAGCTGCCCAGGAGGCCCCCAGTGTAACAATAAAGCATTTTCCCGCCAGGCTCTTGCGCATGTGCTGCTGCAACCACCGGAAGGGGTTCTCTGCTCAGCTTGACGGCCCAGTGGGCCACCTCAGCTTTCCTTAGCAGTTGTCCGTTTCCCTGGAGGAGACTACGCAGGATCCTGCTGCAGCTTTTTCTTTTTCTTCTTCTCCCGTCTCGTGGGAGCCACCTCCCCAGACTCTGGATTCAGTGGCGGCTCCGGCACCCCCTCCTGGGATGCCGTCTCTGGCACCCCACTTTCCTGGCCCCACTTCTTCCTCTTCTTGGTGGACGCTGGATCTTCCCTGGCCTCAGGCTCCGTCATCTCACCTCCTGGGTCAGTCCCTCTGTGCCCTCTTTCTTTCTTCTTCTTCTTGGGGGATGCTAGAGCTGCCTGAGGCTCAAGATCACCTGGCAGCCCAGGCACCATCACCTCTTCCTGGGGCTCCACCACCTCTGTCTTTGGCTCCATCATCGGGCTTTGCCATTTTTCCTTTTTCTTCCTCTTTTTGGTGGACACCAGAGCTGCCTCGGCCTGTGGCTCAACCTCACCACGTGGCAGTTCAGGCTCCATCCTCTCTCCTGGGGGCTCCAGGGTGCTCATCTCTGGCTCCACAGCCTCAGTCCCTGGCTCCACCAGCACCCTGGGCCCCTTTCCTTTTTTCTTCTTCTTTGAGGACAGCAGTGGGATGGCCTCCTCCTGGGGCTCCTCCTTCACCTGTAGCTGAAACTCAGCTCTCATCCCCTCCACAGCCTCCATCCCTTCTGTCCCCTTGTGTCTCTTCCTCTTCTTGGTGGGGGATAGGACTGTCTCTTGCAGAGGCTCGGTTTTAACCATGAGTTCCAGCTCCACAGTCTTTTCTTCTGGCTCCAGCACCCCCATTTCTGTCTCTTTAGGCTTCTTTTTCTTCTTCTTGCTGGTGGATGGGACCAGCACTCCCAGCGGTTCCAGCACCTCAGCCCCGGGCTCCGGCTTCATTGCCTCCAGTTCATTGGGGTGCTGCTTTTTCTTCTTCTTCCCCACACCCATCTCTGGGGGCCCCAAAGCTGTGTCCACCTCCAGGGTCCCGTGCCCATTCACTGCCTCCTGAGGAACGGAGGCCTCAGACACGTGCCTCTTCTTTTTCCTCTTCCCTGAGGCCGGTGACCTCTGTGCCAAGGCTGACCCAGGCCCTGTGACTGGCGGGCTGCCTCCGAAGGCACAGAACCGAGGCCTCAGGCCAGGCGGGATCTGTGGTGGGGGGCTGGTGGGAATGGGTTGCAGCGGGATCCCCGATAAGGATTCTTGGGGACCCTCTAAGATCCTTAGGCTGCCCTTGGGGGCTGGGGCGCAGGTGAGTCCGCCTTCTGCCTCTGCGGAGGGGGCCAGCAGGGTTGCTTCTCCAGCTTGGGGGCTGCCGCTGCTGAGGACCCGATAGCGGTGCCGCTTGCCTGCCACCTTGCCCTTCACCATGTGGGAGCCAGAGAGAGGCACCAGCCGCCCATTGAGGCTGAAAGGAGAAAGGGGGAGGGCAGAAGCCAGTCAGATTCTTTCGGTGGCACAGGGGAGAGGCGCTGGGGAGCTGCATTGCTAGGTTCCCTAGGACAAGCCCCTCTAAACTCCCCAAGTGCATCCCCTGGAGTGGCGAGTATTCCAGGGAGCCGGCTGGGACCACTCACCAGTCTGGGGCGAAGTCTACAGGGGCCTGGATAAGCCACAGTTCCGTATCCGGGCCCGTCAGCGCCTCCAAGGAGAAACGAGTGGACTCTGAGGATGGGGGCGTCGCGGTAAAGTTGGGGGGACAAGAGAACCGAGCAGCACCTGCAGAAGGGGAAACGTGGGTCTGCGGACACTTTCCTGCCAGTCCCATCCTCCAGGGCGCCTATCGCACCGGTCCCAACCTCTCGAGCACCCCAAAGGCCCTCACCCGGTCTCTCCCACGGTCGGTTCCACGGAGACCCTTTATCTCCACTGATCCAAATCCTGGGGGGCTCTTTTCTACACCGGTCGCCCTCCCAAGATATCCTCTCTCCGGCCCAACTCCCTCCAGTGCCCCCACCCCGCCTTCCTCGGGGCATGCTTTTCGCAGGTCCTGTTTCCGGGGATGTCCCTTCTTCCGTCCAGGCGCTCCCGGCGCCCCTTCCCCCTCCCGCCAGCCAGCCTTCTGCACCCCGTCGGCCCGCCCTGAAGCAACTCACCTCCGGACGGGACACCCGCCATCCCGGCACCCACCGCTCCCGCTGATCCGTAGCTAAGCCGCCCCAGCCCCGCCGCCGACCACGTGGAGCCGAGGGGGCGGGGCCTGGCTCGGGAGCGCCCAAAGGGTGCGGGGGCGCGGAGGTGTCGCTGGGAGCCCGCTCGCTTTGTGAGCAGAACTGCGGGAAATTCCCGTTTGTGCGGAGCAGACAACCAAGGAAGGTCTCTGTTCCTGTAAATCTGCTCCCGGAAGCAGCTGATTCGAGGTCTGGCGGGAGGTAGAGCCCCACCAGGCCCCGGCGGGCACCCCCCTTAGTCTCTCGGACATTGTTTGCGCCAACGTCGCCTTAAAGGGGCAGCCACATTGATGGGACCTAACCCTTAAAGAGACAGGAGGATCGATTGGTCTGAAGTCCTGAAAGAGATAGGTAAGAGTCTTGGCTGGCTTGGCTGTGCTTTCAGTGTTGCAGTCCCTGCTAGGGAGGCCCAGAGGTCTCGGGAGTTCAGAACTGGAGTGGGAGGGGTGGGGAAGCGGAGGAAAGGGGGCAATTCCTCTCGAGGGCGTGAGGTACCAGCCAGGGGAGGGGCTTCTGGACCTCCGGGGAGCGGGAAACATGGGGGGCGGAGCCTCCAGACTCGCGTGGGGCTGTGCGGGCTGAGGGATGGGGCCTGTGGGTCCCCCGAGGCATGTGGCTGTCCCGGAGGATTTAATCTCGTGTGGAGCACATCCCCGAAGGCGTTGGGGACGGGAGAGGGAGCAGACCAGAGCTCCTTCCCAGACCCGGGGCGCTTGTAAACAGCAGCACGTGGGCCCAGCTTTGGGGGACGCGTCCACGCCCCCCTGACAGCGACGGCATCCCGTGGGGCGGCGAGACAGCGGCTAGACAGGGTGACCCAACTGCATTCCTGGCCGGTGTGTCAGCGCCGCCTCCCGCCCCCTCTGCCGCGATTTCGGATCCTATTCCCGCATTGGGGTGCCCCTCTTTTCAGGGAGCGAGCGGCTTCCCAGACCCGAGGGAGGGTCAGGGGACGCGTTCCCTCCGCCGGGGGTCCCCAAACAGTTCCCGCGCGGGGGCGAGACACCGGGGCGTGGCCCCCGCGGGCTCCGGGACTACAATTCCCAGAGGACCCCGGGCGGGGGAGCGCCCAACTCGGCTGTGGACGCCGCCAGGGACCGCAGTCCCAGCCTGGGCGCCGTGGCCGGGACATCTTACCAGATCCAATCCGCCCTTTTTACCGACGGGGAGACTGAGGCTCAGAAACTCGAGGGGTACTATTTAGGGAGGCCTCCTCTCGCTCTAGGGATGGGGCGTGAGTCTCCCCCGGTCTGCGACCTTCTCCCCCCCTTGGTAGTGTCCGAATCATCCCAGGAGGGGAAACTGAGCCTGGAGGGGTGGGGCCGGGACGTGGGAGTCCGTCTTCCGCAGCCACAGGGAGGGAGAAGTCTGGACTCTATTTCCGTGGCCAGGTCTCTCTGGGCTTCTGGGCCTCGCCCTTCCTGTCTGTGAAATGGACTTCGGATGCCTCTGAGTGGGAACGGCTCCGGCTGCGTCCTGCTCCTCCGGGACTACAAGTCCCAAGGTGCTCGAGGCGACCCCGGCTCCCCCTCCCCGCAGGGACCCGCCTCCCTCCAGCCGGAGTCACGTTGTCCAACCTGTTCCCGGAGTCTGCCCCGCCCCGTCCTCCGCGCCCCGCCGCCGGAGCCGAAGCCGGAGGAAGACCCCTGGTGCCAGGATCGGCCCCTGATCCGTGAGTTCCGCCTCGCCCGGGTCCAGCGGCTCTGGAGGGGCCGACACCGCGTCCCTGGGAGGACTGGGAGGGGAACCGGACGCCGGGTCCCAGCGCGGGATTGGGGGTGCGCAGACGCAGGGTCCGTGGAAGGAGAGAACTTGGATACTTGGTTTACTGGGCAGAAGGGAAGGGGGCCGGGATGCCTGAGTTCTTGGAAGGGAGGACTCGGACGCCTTGGTTCCGGGGGAGACGTTGGAGCTGGGACTCCTGAGTCCCTCGAACTGGGGGCTCTCGGAACCCTGAGTCCTTGAGTAGAATTGGGGGAAGCGGGTGCCTGAATCTGGGGCAGAAATGGGAGGCTCGGACGGCTGGGGCTCTGGAATGGGAGGCCATCCTACCACTCTCGGTGCCGCCTTCTCCACCGAGCCCGTAGGTCTCCGAGAAGAATTAGGGTGGGGAGGGGGTAGTGGAGCCCGGGTTCCTGAAATGGAGCGAGACAAATACCCGGGGTCCCTCTGGAGGCTGTGTGGCGCTCCCCAAACTTCCCGGCTCTGGGGTGGGGGCAGGGGCAGCTCTCCAAACTCCCCGGTGCCGCTGCGCGATCCCCAACATGTCATTAACCGAGGCGTCAGACCTGCCTAACCAGAGAAGGGACCTCCGCCCAAGGGCGCCCCCTGGCGCGGGTGTGGTGCCTCCGATTGCCCCATGGAGGTGGGAAACCACGGGGGTTTGCAGAGGGCGGGCGTTCTAGGTAGAACCCAGGGCCGAATTCTAGAAGGTGGGGTTGGATTCGGGGAGGCCTGCAGAGCTGGGCACCACGCAGTCATTACACAGAGAGGATGGGGGTCAACCAAGCTCGGAGGTCAGAGTGGGAGGGGAAACCCAGATTTGGCATCCCCCCTCCCTCTGCAGCTCTCTGGGGTGCAGAATTCCATCCGCTCCCACTAGATTTTCCGACTAACCTTTCCCCTCCTAGGGCTACTGGCCCTGACCCTGAGGTGAGAAATGTCACCTCCACCCCCTCTGTCTGACCTGAAGTAGCGTGGGAGATAAGGGAGGGATCGAGGCTAATTCTGGAGGTGTGTGTCAGTCCTTGAAGGGGGGGTGGGGGAGGGCAGGGCCCCGCACCTCCCTCTGTCTGTCTCCCCCTTCTCTCCACCCGCAAGTGTCATGGGAAAGGATTAAACCAGGGGGTGGGGAGGCAAGGGGCTCTGATGCGAGAGGGAAGAACTTCCTAATAGTTTGGGCTTGAAGGGCATTTGGTAACAGCCTGTGATGACATTAAAAATAATAACCGTGGCTGCCAAGAGAGCTCACGGCATGCCAGGCTCGGGGTTGGCAGGTAGACCAGACGGTGCCCATTGTCTCCGGCAACCGTTCAAAGGTGTCACTTCCAATGAGGTTTGCTGACCCCACCCCAGGGAAGGAATGACTTCTCCCTGCTCCAGTGGGGAGACAGGCTGGAGAGCAGGCACAGCCTACGGCGCCCTGGGCTTCTGCCACGTTCTCTCTGGAACCTTCCAGGGCTCCTCGGGCCCCCGTGCTTCAATGATTGTGGATGATCCCTGGCCAGAACTCAGGAATGTACATGGAGAGGTCAGGGCTCAGGAAGTGAAGGCTCCAGAGGTTCAAATGCGGGGCTTTTAGAATCTCAGAAAGAGTTGAAAGGGCTCTTTTTGGGGGGAAGTTACTTTGGGTATTGAGCCCTCACTCTGTGCCAGACCCTGTGATATCTTAACGATGAGCAAAGGAAGACCGTAATGAAGAATCCTCTATGTGTGAACTTTATGTGGCGCCCTGCACTGTTCTAAACGCTGTTTTAAACACATAAATTCTGTCACTCAAACCTCACACCCCTGTAATGTGAAGGTTTTAATCGCCCCATTATACACACGAGAGAACTGAGACACAGAGAAGCTCAATAACTAGTCCAAGGAAGAGGCTTAGAGAGGGGAAGGTCCTAGCCCATACCCCAGCTGTCCCCAGAGGGGGGTACCCAGTCCCAGAGAGGGTGAGGCTTCTTCAGCGTCAGTCTGTCCGCACAGAACTGTAGGATTAGAACCTGGGTATTCCCAGGCCAGCCTAGCGCTCGGACACGGTCCCTACTGAGCATGATTCTTCTGGAACGACCCCACCCCCACCTCCTGCCCGGATTCTTAACCCAGAGAACCTGGTTGGAGTGCAGAGGAGGCCTGGAAAAGAGAGCTAGGGGTAGGGGGCAGGGGAGAAGCGGGAGCTTGGGTTGGAGAGTACCTGGGAGTGAAGGGCGAGGGCCTGGGAGCAGAGGCGCCGCCCTCACGCCCCGCCCGGCCCCGCTCCTCTGCCCGGGGAGGTTCTGCACCTGCCCAGACCCGCGCGCGGCGCATTCCCCGGGTCTGAGCTCAGGTGCTGTCCGCCTGCTGGGCTGGGGTCGGGCGTGACCCGGAGCGCCCCCTGGCGGTCCCGACGCTCCCTCCGCCCGCGCCAGCCCCGGGTCGGCCCCCCACGCCCAGCGTCGGCATTTCCTCTGAGCCAGAGGATGTCAGCGTGGGATCCGAGCGTCTTAGAAATTTGGAAATCATGAAATATCCCCCAAACAACCGCTCCCTGCCAAAATGCTGGCACAGGAGGCTGCATGGAATTGTTCAGTTTTTATATTTTAACAGACACAGGGTGTTTCCTGTGTATCTAAGAGTCTAACAGGCTAATTTTGACTCCTGTAGTCTCTGCTGCCCGAGGCCTCAATTTTCAGAGCCTTAATTCCTCTTGCGCCTTCTGGCCAGTTGGATCATCACCACTGTTGATGTTTCCATATCAATAATATGGAAAATAAGATTTAAAATAAACACCCCTGCTGAGGCAGACTGCTGTTTCTCCTCATCTTCCAGATCAGGAAACCGAGGTACTCTTGTCAGGGTGGGGCAGTGGAGCCACCAGATTAGGACCCTGGAAGTCTGGCTCCTTCCTTGTGCTCTTACCCACTGCACTAGACCACACAGTCACGTAGGCGTTTAGGCCTGTGGGGTCCTGGGATAGCCAAATTGGAGAATTCTAGAATGTTCCAAAGATAGCATCTTGGATTTAAACCTTTGGAACAATAGACGCTCAAGCTGAGGGTTTGGGGCTCTGTGGGACAATCTCAAGGTGCTTACAGTTTCAGAATCTAGGCCTCTGAGAGACCAAGAAGCCCCTCAGCACAGCTGATTTACCTCCTCCCTTCATCATTGGGGAAACTGAGGCCCAAAGAGTGGAGGGGACTCGTTGCCCAAGGTTATAGACTCCCAACACACCCAAACGAGCCACCAACTCCAGCAGGTTCTGTCCTGAGGCTTGTCAGACGGAGGCCGGGCTAGCATGCCCCAGCCCGCCTGCTGCCCACGCTGAGCTAAACTGTGGTGAAGCCTGAGAAGT